CTTTCCCCCCCCCCATCCCAGCCAGGGATGAAAGTTTTTTTTCGTTTGTTTTTTCAGAAAGTAAATGAACCATTACTCAGGTAGTAACGAAGAGAGAAGTTCAAGTGTGAGATGCCAAGTTCCACTATTGATGGTCAGTATAGGATTGACTGAATCCAACAAAATCTACCCTCTACTGTAGCTGCAGTTAGTGGATGAAAACAGTTTTCTTAAGTGGGCTGCTCAACAGTTTCGATTCCCGTCTGAAACACAGTGAGAGCCGATCCGCCGCACCCTACCAGGGCCGCGACACAAACGCTAAAAGTCATTTATTGTCAGCCATCTTTTCTGCTTCGTCCCCGCGGTGAGTAGTTGAGTTAGTCAAGTGGTGATTAGAAATGAGTGGTTTCAGAGTGGATGGGCTCAGTGAGCAAGGTGAGATGCACTCTGGGGGAAAAAGAGAAAACTGGACAACCCGCAATCCTCTGCAATCGAGCCACAAAGTTGACCCACGTCAAACTGTCACAGAACAGTCTCACTGTACGTCATGTCGGACAGATCCTTTTCTGTTCCTTTTCTTTGATCGTTTCAGCCCGTTATTTATTATTTATTCTTCCCGGTAGAGTTCGGACTCGCACACGGCTGATGCAAAGACTTCTTGAAGCTTGTGGCTTTTTAAGAAGTGCAGGGATGCACAGGGAGAAAGCTGGAACACAAAAAGTGCACAGAGTGGACGACACACACACAGCTAGAAAAATACCTGCCTCATGAATGATTGTGGAGATGTTCATTAAAATAAAAGACAAAAAAGAACGGTACAAAGCCCACGCTCAGAGCCAAAACAGCAGGGCTGAGCGAGGAACGCTTAACATGCAGTGTTTACAGAAACACATCCTGAGAGAGATGAAAGCTCAGACAAGCTCAGCGATGTCCTAACCTTACCGAAACTTTGCATCAAGGCCCTGCACTTCAGAACGAACAAGGCATTAACATAAAAGAACCTCTGCCTCTGCATCTTTAAATCTGAATGTGACATCCTGTTGCCAAGTCTGCATTCACCCAACTCAAAGCCTGACAGGTGAAGTGTTTTTTTGTGAATACTTCCAACAGTGTTAAATGTTGCTGAACAAGGAGGTGGATCTAAAAACAGGCTCTGCTGTGGACCTTGGCCTGGACTAGTTTCATAAGGGGGGGAGGTGGGAAGGAAGGTGAGGTTAGGGAAGACAATAATGTGTTTGTGTGTGTGCGTATTAGGGAGAGAGAAAATAGAGGGGGGGAGGGAAAGAGAGTGAGAGAGAGAGAGAGAGAGAAGGCCATTGTTGTTATTATGATCCCCTCGGGCTTCGAGGGCTGGGCTGAGTATGCGGAGGGGAGGGCATGGAGGGAGTGTGGGAGATTTACAGTCAGAAAACAGGCCTTGCTTATGGAGAGTGGAGCTGATTAACTGAACACCTCGACACACACACACAAACATGCATCAATCAGCGTCGACAGATTTCAGATTTCTTTTCTAACCTTTCACTCCTTCTCCTCTGCTTTGTGCCCAGAGACAATGAACTGCATTAAATTCAATCTCCCTTCAGTGTCACCTCACAGAGAATCTCCCAAACTGCTGAATCACCCAAACTGTGATTTCAAGTAAAGCAAACTCAGGTACGCTCGACTTTTTTAACTTTGAAGTGGTTACTTGAGCTTTGAAGTGGTTAACTCCCTCTGGGCTCTCTGTGTGGGGGTTGCAGACGAGAAGAGGAGTGTTGATAAGGACGAACTCTGTGCACAACGTTGTGTCTAGTGCAATGAGTCAGCATTTTCTGAGCCTGTCCAGACGCTACGCTGTCTAAGTACTCGTTGATGTGCCTGTAGGAAGCGATGGAAGAGCAGGACAGGAGAGGAGAGGGGGTTGGGGTTGCTTTTAACGCTGATTAGCTGTGTCCGCCAACCCCCCCCCCACCGCCAACCCGATGATGAGGAGGTGAGCGATGGACACAGGACACCGTTTCCCGGCAACCACTATCGACTGGCCACAGATCAATCTCCAGACCTCTGGTGACGGCTGATAATGCTCTTCCTTTTCTTCCTTTCAGTACAGGTGTCCTGTTGACTCTGTCTGGGCAGGTGTCTCACCTCAACCTGTCTTCACCTCTCGTGCTGGAGGCCTAACAGCAGTAGTGTTTTGTATCTGCGCTGTCTGCCAACATACCGTCAAAATGACTGCCAAAATAGACAGACAGATGTACCAATACTGCTACCACTTGTGAGGCACAACTAGAATTAATATGCAGGGCTTTAAAACAAGTCATGAGGGGAATACCAGAGGTGTAGACTCAAGTCAGACTCAAGTAATGAGTTTGAAGACTTTAGACTCAACTTAAAATCAAAAAAGACTTGGACAACAGTGACTTGTGACTTCACCTGCACTTGTTTGTTATTTAAAAAGTGTGTCAGGAATATTGAAGTTCTGTAATTTTCTGCAAGTCGACACGTTTTGAACCAATCCAACAGCATCCAATCAAGTTGCGAGAGGGAACGATGAAGACGTTACTGAGAGAAAATCGGAAAAGATTATACCAAAGATGATTTTGTTTTGTTCATACTGTTGTAAAATGGCATTACATTTGGTGAAGAGTGCATTATGACTTGTTTAGAACTTGAAACTCAAAGTTTAGGACTTTGGACTTGACTATGGACCCGTCAGTCTTGACTTAGGACTTGAGGGCAAAGACTTGACTTGGTCCCACCTCTGGTACATACACTACTACCAGCAAAGCACTTACAGTCCTAAAAAGGGACTGTCACCTACTGTAAGCTAAGGTTTCCTCTTTGGCTAACAATGTTGTTGAGCTAGCAGGAGAATATAGGTCACATGAGCTGCTGCCAGTGGAACAGAGCTATCAAAGCCCCCCTCACTCTTCCCACCCCTCCTTATTCCTGAGATCTAAACTTTGCAAGCTCTGGGAGACGAGGTCAGCCTCCCTCCCCCTTCCCCCCTTTCCTTGTCTCAGCTGCAGGAAATTCAGTCTCTCTTCACCCTCCCTGTCCACATCTGTGTAACCCGAGCCAGGTGAACTGAGCCCCCTCTGGTCAGATTGGCAGCTTACTTCTTAAATGTGACCTCAGATATACCTTCCTCCCATTCATATTTGAAGTCGCACTCGAAAGTTGTACACTCCTATGCTCGCTCTCATTTTAGCCCTGGTTTGTAGACTCATTCTCTCTATGAAATTAAATGGAAACCAATGGCAGTCAGGAACAGTAGGGAAAATACATACAAACGTAACTTTATGCCCTGAATTTAAAAATGGTTGCCTCTGATTTGTACTTAAATAGGTAAAATGTACAAAACCCCTTGTATGGTTCTTTAATATTGTTATAATAAGTATCTAAGATGGTCATTTTTCGGTGCCCACACCCCCCTTCAACGCACCTCTGTTGATACAAGATGAAAAGGGAGTGGAGAGTGTTTTTGCTTCTGAGAGTTCAGGGTTTAATTTAGGGGTCGCAGGGGCTAACAGCATTTGCACACACCTGCTGTTTTTTAATGAAGAGGATTAGTCTGTGTTCACATGAGCCCGCATGGCCCGAGCCCACCCTGGTGCTTACAGCTACACTATATTTACAGATTTAACTGATAGACCCCGGGTCATCAATGAAGTTTCTAAAAGTGTCCTTCCACAAAACGCCTGCAGTAAAAAGTCCATTATAAGCTGCATGGTACATTAGCTACACCGTGCCAGTGCTGTGTTGCATTTGTGGTGTTACATCCTGTTCTGAAGTTAAAGGCCGTGCCTTTGCTTTGTTTCTACCTTGTTTTATGTCTCACACACACACACACACACACACACACACAGATGCAATAAATGCTCCCTCTCTGGTGTTATTTCACAGTGAGCTGACTTTTTAAATTACCCATTAGTCTGTCTCCTCTGTAGCACAAAGAAAAGGTCTTATTGTTGACAGAAAGGAGGCTCTCTGAGAATTAGCCACATAGATGAAAGTTAAGGGAAGAGATCCCCTTTAAAGTCTGTTTAGCCTTTCAGCCAAAGAGCTCTTTAAATAGTTTCCAAATAAGGAAAAGAAAGAAGGTAGGCCCAACTATGTGAGCACAAGATACAGAAGGAAAACAGGGCAGTAGTAGTCTGAATTTAATGGGAAATTGAAAGGATGAATTACTAATTATTACAACTTGTGTCTTATTTTCATACCTATCTGTTAGGATAACACTGTACTCATTAAAACTGATTGTTAATATCGGGGAAGACGGCAAAATGGTGACAACAAAGCCAGACATGGCAAAAAACATGTTCAGTTAGACACCCTGCCATGTTTTAAAGTAATAATTCAACATTTTGAGAAGATACTACTCTCATGTCTATACAATATGAAGCTAGACATAGTAGGGGGAAGAGCTACCCTGTCCAAAGCCCGTTTCCACCTGAATTTGTACTAATTTTGCACAGCTTACACAAAGAAGGTGTAACATGTCAATTAATAAAGTTTAGAGGTGCTGATAGGGCCCCTTCTTCCAGTCTTTATGCTAAAATACACCAGTTGCCTGCTGGCTGTAGCTTCATATTTAGCATACACACATGAGATCTTGTCTTAACCGTCCACAAAAGTGTATTCATCAAAATGTCAAACCATTCCTTTAAACAGACGGCCATGTTAGACAGATTATCTTATCTAGGGGTAAACCAAACCCAGAATGTAAGTAATCACTCATTGCATGTGAAGTAGCATACGGTGGGCCAAAGTAGAACCAGCAAGCTTGTCTGTAAACTGGTTTACAACAGACAGTGTACCTTTCATCTGTTTTCATTTTCTTCCAAAGACGTTTGGCCAACCTGGTGCTTTGTTTTAAGCATGTATGATTCACATATTTTTAGCAACATCACCACATTACCAGCAATTCTTTTGATGAGTACAATCTTATTATTACTATTAAAATTACCATTAAAAATAAGATCTAAGTTGTAATACAGTGGAATTATGGTTTAAAACCAACACAGTGCCTGTATAGCTAATAAACTGAACTCCTTCAGAGTTACAACCGCAGCCTAATCACAATGAAAAGGAGTCAAAGGGAGGATGATATCTGGGCTGAAGGCAGCCCACAAAATACCTCTTAATGTAAACTACAGTGAAATGTCTGTTTGGACCAAACCCTGTTTCTCTCTAGCTCACCTCACACCCCATGACATATTGCACTGTAGAGAAAGTCGACGAGATGGAGCAAGACAACTAGAGGAGGAGGGAACACTACTGAACCCTATTTGAAGCATAGTGGTCCGTCTACAAATCTTTTGTAACCCTATGCATTTCTTTTTTTGAACGGCAACTGTGATAGCATAAGCAGATGTCAAGTTATCAGCGAGGGAAAAAAGCCCCTACTGAGATTAGGAGAAGGAGGAGGGCGGTGCAGAGGCGGGAGAGAGAATGGAGGGGCCTTCCTGGTTTAGAAAAAATAATAACAACAACATAAAGTCACTCAAAATGAACAAAAACAAGAAGGAAAAAAAACAATGTGCAAACTTCTCTCATATAAATAGACTACAGTCAACGCATTGTAGAGCACCATGGGAGACAGGAGGAGGTTAGGGTGGTGTGTGTTGGGGGGTGGGGGTGTATATGTAAGACATAATTTATGCTTGCTGCTAGTGTGTGTGTGTGTGTGTGTGTGTGTCTGTGTGTATCAGTACAGTATTGGATCTACTACCACATGTACTACGAGTTGCAAGAGCCACTGAGCACAGAGACTTGAGACAGATGGATCACTGGGAAGAGGGCTGGATTAGAGGAGGGCGGGGTCTAAGGTCCAATTTAAGTTCAAAGTTCAGTGTCCCCTAATGTCAAAGGTCAGACCCAGTCCTGCAGCGAGCGCTTGCAGTGCACCAGCAGCCGCGGCGCCCCTTTGCTCTGCAGCGTGTTGATGATGGCGTAGATCAATCCCAGGATGCACAGCACCAGGACCAGTGGGATGGTCACCATCAGGATGTTCATGGTCCGTTCCTCGCTGTCGTCCACCTTCAGCACCACATCCACCTCGTTAGTGTCTTCCTCGCGGCCCTCACGGTAGTCTTCATCTTTGTCTTTGTCGTTGTCCGCCCCTTTGCCAGCGTCTTTGTCCGTCCCGCCGCGATCCGTTCCATCCCGGTCTTTGCCCTTGTCGCCGTCACGGCCCACGTCCGGGTTGAAAGGTGGGCGGTTTACGTCAGGGAATTTGCGTCCCGAGTCTGTGTCCGTGTCTCTGTCTGGGTCCAGGTCCACGCTGCAGCCCATGAAGTCTCTCAGAATGGACTTAGGGTAGCCGGGTTCGCTCTTCATGCGGTGGTTGTCAAACTTCCAGTACTTGGAGCCCTTGTAGAAGAAGGTGTAAGCTGGAGAAGGAAAGGAGAGCAGAAAATGTCAGTCAATATAACAATTTAAAGGAATAGTTTGACATTTTGGGAAATACGCTTCTATGCCGTGTTGCCAAGAGGTAGATGAGAAGATTGAGAGCCAGAAGCTGGTTAGCTCAGCTTAGCATAAAAATGAGAGACAGAGTGACAGCTATCAATATTCTCAACTAACTATATAAATAAACGTATTTACCAAAATGTCAAACTATTACTTTCAACATTTTATTTTAAATTGTTTATTGATCTAAAATAATGTGTTGTATAAATGGAAAAATGTCTACTCCCTATCACTCCTATCTATTTTCACTCTAACTGAGCCCAGCAAAGCAAAAAGCCCTTCACATGTAGGCTCAAATTCACTTTCCAACATACGCCATCCCCCCTCTCTCCTGATGATTGCATGGCCACACCCTGATTCTTTGTTTCAGGCATGTCTTACCCAGCCCCTCCTCGCACTCTTTCACGCACACAAACACACACGCGCAGCTCACCCCCATCATCGCTGAGGAAGGCCCCCTTGGGAGTCGAAGGCACTGACGATCCCCAGATGCTGATTGGTTTGGGGTAGCCTCTGTCAGCCAGGCGCGACTGCTCGTTGAAGCGCCAGTACCTGCGGACAGCCACGGAGAAGATGGTTGTTACTGTTTATCAGCTGTCTAAACAAGAAAAGAGCAGACTTCTTACACAGTACAGTACATGGTGGACCTGCATGGTGTGTATAAAACAATAGCGTTTCCACAGAACATTCACATCTGTTCTGAGCGTCAATTCACTAGTAAACCTGAGGCGAGTCAGTCATACTGTGCTTAGTGAGGGCTTATTAAATTTTCAGACCTACAGTAAAAATTATTTTTCTATGAGTATTTTCATAAATGTGTTATTCGTGCATAAGCTTGTGTTATTTTGGTTCTACTGCAGTGCGAAGAGTGTTCAGTATGTTTGTATTGTTCACAGAACTTTCTAACTTTGTTAACAAAGAGCTGTACAAATACAGCTGCTGCTATATTCTTGCATAACTTAAAACTTACAGGGCTATACTGGAATTATTCATGTGATCTCAATCCATACACATGGAAATAAAAGCATAAAAAACTCCAAGTGGACATACATAAAACCTTCATACTGTATTGATTTCAGTATGTCCACTTATTTCCTGCCTCTCTTTGAAGCTAAAATCAAAAATCAATTACAAAATCCATCCAATTTGTTACTAATGTAGTAGTCTGAGCTGTGTTTGTCTATGCAGGGTTGAGAAAAGATAGGCACCAAACTGTGTCTACTGCTGTACCTGTGGTTACCATCCCATAAACCACACGTGCAATACCAAGACGAAGCCTCACTAGCTGATTTGTGAGGCTGTACTTAGGCACAGTGGTGCTTTGAGGTACATGCTAACTTTAACATGCTAACAGGCTCATATATATGAGTGTATGCAACAGCCCCCCCAGGGTTTTGGTGGATTTTTTGGGGGACATATGGCTCATTGTTTTTTTTTTATGACACTACGGAGCCTCTGTGTTTTTGTTTTATATCTTTTTAAGTAGAGGCGTTTCAAAACCCTCAGCTACACTACAATGATCAGTCAAATTTGCGGAAAAGTTGTGGTGATTGGACAGAACTGCAAGGCGGCGCAGAATTCCCAGGGACTGGTAGAATTTGTGCGAACTGTTGCGATCGCAACATTGCAAATTCCTGAGGGAGTGTATGATATAATAGTATACTGGGTAATTAGAGGGGTTTCATGTGATGCTGAAAGGTTGCAAGCTACTTTACCAGTCTCCTTGAAAGATGTAAGTGTAGCCGGATGGCTCCCACCAGATGGCTGTGTCTATTCGGTCGTAGGGAATATCTCGACCGTAATCAACCAGCTCCAGTGGATAGCCCTGTTCCAGGTTAGCCTCCCTGAAAAGCCAGAATCTGTTTCCTAATGAAAGGAGAGAGGAAAAAAAACTGCTTAATGATCCTTTATGGTGCGTACATTCTCTATCCACTCTCACTCAAAACCCTTATGGACTTAATTAAAATGTTAACAGCACAGACCCAATCATACTGTACGCTCATGTGCACTTATACACGTCCACAAGAACAGATGTACACATAAACACTCTGCTTGTGCACACATATTTGATTTGCTGGCACAAAATATGTCAAATAAGTGAAACTGAATGAGGTATAAAAAGAGAACAATCAGAGAAACCAAACCAGCATTTACATGCACTTGTGAATTATGTGAATGCAATAATGATTTGTTGGCAAGCAATCAAAACACAGCAGAAGCGAGCACGACATCATTGACTAAAGAATTTGGGTTTTGCTCGTAATTATCCATTAGGAGCGGCTTGTCTCATGTCAGGCTTTAGCAGATTTCTCGCTGAAGGGAAGGTTTTATTGTTTTCACTGTGTCAGGCAGGGGGACTCCGTTCCTCCTGGCACCATTACATCTCTCCTTTTGGCTTCAATCCGCTTTTCACTCCCTCTTTCACCCACACCCACCTATCCATCCACCTCAGGCCCCTTGCTCCTTGTTTAAAATGAAAGCTCTACACTCAGCATCTGGAGAGAACAAGTGGTTGACGCAATGCTTCCCAGGGTTCCTGCGGTGCACAGCCCTGATGTAAAATCCCATGACTTATTCCATGTCTTTCCATAACTACACCAGAGCGCTTCAGTGACCTAAAGATTTGATTTCTTCCTGCTGTGTAACTGCTGTTTTTCTTAAAGGATAAACGGAGTGGTTTCTATTACAGTTGGACTTGTTTGGATAAAAACAGCTGTGAAACCTCTGGGTAATACACCAGCTGTGTAAGAGAAATGGATGAATACATTTATGCATGTTACTCTACTAAGAATTTGTTAAAGTCTTTGATGTTCCTGTACTTTCTAAGTCTGGATTACACCATTCAAAACCCAAGTATTTCAAATATTTGATGTCCAATATGTCAAAAATCCATCCATCCATTTATACTCCATCGCTGGCGTTTTGTTTGGATGATTTCTTTGGCAATTTTACTTTGCTCATTTAATGGTCTGCCTCTGAAGATCGAGTTTGAGCCACTGATCAGCGACAGGCTCAGTGGCACAGTACTCACCCAGTGAGACGATGAACAAGTGAGAGGATAAACAGCGTAGAGGCAGAATTTTCACATTGGTTTGAACTAAACTTTCAGTTTAGTAAGTTAAACTCAGGAGTCCAAGCTCCGAAGAATACGAGGCTGCATTTACAACCATGCCTGTTATCCTCCCTGTTATGTACTGTACATTTACAGCAAAATTAAGTCTCTGTTTTCATTTATATATAATTATTTATTTTTATTGACGCTTGCTGAGATAATTCTGTTTGGCCCTGTCACTGCCACTCCAAAGAAATGCTAAGCTCAGCACAGCAGGGAGTGACCATAATAACTGCCCCCATAGGGTAACAGACAGTTTAGGGTCTCGTTGTCTGCTGCTATTACTGTTAATTCAATGTGAAGTGTGTGCTGGGATACTTGTCCCAAAGCATGAGAACACAAGTACACTACAAAATCGCAGATTGTGAAGGTACTGCTGCCTTCGTGCTGACAGAAATCTGATTGGTCAATCTGATATCCCACGCATCCCCATGCTGTGTTTGTCTCCCTTTCTCTTGTGCTCTCAGGTCTGCCAGTCCTTCCTTCCTTCCCTTTTTTCTCTCCTTCCTCTTCCTTTCTCTTGTTCTTTCTTAGCTAATGGCTTGCGGCCAAGTGTCACACTGAGAGGCTTGCCGATGACATCACCCTCCTCATCATCAACAGCTGCCCCAAAGCCTGTAGCTCCCAGAGTCAGGCTGCACTGAAGCCTGAGCTCTTTCTTTTTCATTCAACAACTTTATCCACCGTTATAAAAGACAAGCTGCTCTCAGTGACTCACAGTATGAATAATGACCTGCGCTAAAAGAGATTTATACCCTGCACGTAGAATACATTATGTTGCGCTGCTTTCTGAAGGAGTTGGGGGTGTGTAAAGTATATCTTCGACATTATCTAAAGAAGATGAAGAAAGTCCCAGAATCTGTTTTACTGTTAAAATATGAAAGCATTAAGGCATAGATTGGTTGTAAAGGAGAAACCAGATGGTGGATGGTTTTTGTAGGAGAGCATACTTATGTTCCATGTGCTCATAAAAATTGTAATATCTTATCTTTAAAGACGAAAACAAAAGAATATATTCACCTTAAAGAGCTGATGCATATGTAAGACAGAGTGACTTATTATAAAACCTGGATCTTGTACTATACCACAGGATCCAGTGAATCCAGCTATGATTGTATTTTGGCTTGGCAGAGTAAACTGGGCTGCCTCACCGGAAATTGAATCCAAACACTGGTGATGTTTGTCAGTGCTGTGACACAAAGTTTGCGTGTTACTATGCTGTAAGGCATTTTAAAACTAGACATATTCTCAAAGGCTGTTGTTGCTACTGTCATGCTCTAAGTGACAGGACAAGATTATTCAGGCCTGTTTTAACAGCAACAATAACCAGAAACATAGATGGTGTGTTTGTTCCCTAAAGGAGAGATTGCCGTTTGCTCACAGGAGAAAAGGGGCGTGGATGAAGAAGAGTGTGTTCATCAGGCAGTTTGATGATCTTCCAAAAGGAGTGACCACTTATATGAAACGTTCTCCTATTCACCCTTATAAGCCAAACTGTCATGAAATAATTTAATTCTACATTATATAATTCAAAAGTATTTAATACAATTGCATAAGAAATGTAGATATTTTGGTTTATTATGTGTTTTATATCATCAAAAATATGATACATGCAGGTTTCTGTTTAGGTTAAATGTGAGTCAATACTTTCCTAACCTAAAGGATAAAAGATAACAAATACAGGTACTGACCACTTAGGGTTCCTTAATTCTCTGCTCTTGTTGTTTACATTAATGACAAATCTCAGAACATATCGGCTATCGTCTGACAACAATGTATCCTCTGGGGGCAACGGGCAATGTTTCAGGGCTTCCAGTGTAGCCAGTGAATATCCGGAAAAACGAATAACTGGGCCAAGACTTCCTCTGCAGTCCGATAAGCAACTTGATACACAAGAATGACGAGAAAGGCACATTTCAGCACACAACACAAAACACATATATGCATATGAAGGCGAAATTCCTTTTGCTCTCCACACAGACTGCTTGGTCAATACTACTCAGACTACACAAACCAATACGCTTCTAATGCCAAAATCTTGTCCCTTGCCTACAGATTCTGCATCCATATGCAAATCTCTGTTTATAGAGGTTACAGTAATGCGTGATAAATGATACACAATCTATCAAACCATTTCACCTTGCTCTTTAGGCTGCAAGGTGCAAGGTGGCTGATTCAGATGATGGACTTCTTTCCAAGTCACCTGGATTGTTTTATTTTGGTGTCACAATTAGTCTGTCTGGGGCAATGCAAAGCTTGTTTTGGGTTGCAAAATTCACAGTTTCTTTGAGAATGGTACAGACCAGTTTGAGCTTCAATGCAAAGTAAATCAAAGGACACTGCACAACTCTCCTCTAGTACATTATTCTTTATGCACTGAATATTTTCAGCTATCTTGCCTCCATCAGACTGGTAGCCAAAAACCTTTTCTGTACTGAAGAAGAGTTGTGAGGTGTGTTTTAATTTGTGCTGCAAACCCACAAGCATGTCTTTAAGCATATGGCAATTTACTTCATATTTAGTTATATTTAGTTATATTCTGTGTTGAGCAGCATGCATCCGTCAGTGCGTGCGTGTGTTTGTGTGTGAGTGTTTGCTGCTTACCTTTAAAGAAGACGAACCTGCCGTCGTGTCTCTCATAAGCAGCATCTATGTCTCCAGGCAGACCCCTCCAGAAGTGACTGATGGGCATGGGGTAGTTATCCAGCACCCTGTTCTTACGCACCCGCCAAAACCAACGGCCCTGAGGAGACAAAGTTAAGAAGTGTGTTTGAGTGTATCATTTCTCAAAACTCACTAGTTTCTCTCTTTCTCTGTCTTTCTAAATTCCTGGCTTAGCCTCAGAGCCTGCAAATAAATCCAAAATAAACCAATGCCCAAATAAGTTCAAAACATATGTCTTCATATCTCATTCTAAGTATATCCTTGCGTCTGCCTTTTCAAAACATTCCTGTGCACAAGAATATGAAATCAGGATGGGAGGGATGCACAGATAGCTACTGTGAGAAAGGTATTCACTCTCATTAGTCAACTAATTTGAACTATTTGTCCCACTGAGGTCAGATAGCACTGTCGTAATGCTTCCTGGTCATTATGTCAAGCAAACTGAGCTCTGCAGGATAACTAGACCAGAACGTACAATAAACTAACAATAGCGGAACACGGCAGGCTAATAATAGTCAGTCTCCGCTCCGGTGGCTTTATCACGTCCCCTTATTGCAGCCTCTCTGCTGATCACAGCCTGCTACAAGATAACTCTTATAAAGAACTGTTGGATTTCATTGTCAGGTCAGCAGCACAAAACAAGGGGGAATCACTAGTAGCACATTTAAATCCAAGCACAGACAGACGCTTATAGCTTGTGAACATTCATATCTACTGTATATATGCTGTGCACACAAGCCAGCAGAGATTTACACCAGGAGCCCTCAGACTCATTCATAAGTGGTGAGTCAGTAGCCCTGCTTGTCCTGGATAATGTAACGGTAAAATGCTCAGTGCTGCTTCTTTCTGGCAAGCACGCCTAGTTTTGTCCTTCACGTAGGACACGTTGGCAGACAGGACGGCGCGGTACGGTATGGAATGAAACAGACTGGAGATGTGCCGGCCCGAGCTGAGAGAAACAGAACAGAGCCGGGCCCAACAGGCTGTGCGCTCTTCGATTCGTGTGGTCTGACAGCTCCTTGCGTTGACCAGATTAAGAGTGAATTGACCATATTAGTCCTCAGCAGAACGGGCCAGATCTCAGTGTGCGAGTTTCAATATTGAAAGCAGCTCAGTGTGCTCTGCTGGTTTATTTTATGCCCAGCCCTCTGCTGTGAAGAACTACTAGTGAATAAAAAGAAAGGAGAAATTTCCCTCCAGAATGACAGCCCCTTTCTTTTGTTAATGGACAAGGTTCTATGGAGAAGAGAGTGGCACTGATTTGCTACAGATTACTCCCACTCTTACACTGCATAAAGTAAGTAATTTTGCCTATGCAGAGTAATAGCAGAAAGGAATAATAACTTCAATTTCTGAAGAGTGGAGGCGTCACTTCCAATTTGACATGAGGACAATCTAAATATGAACAGCACGGTCGGAAATCAATCCCAAGCCAAGTGCTAAATCACAATATAACATACAGATCAATAACAGTCAATGCAAGCTGATAATATTCTGAGACTAATATCTGAAGGATGTATGTCTCCTGTCAGTCTTTTTGACATACTTTCTGTCCACAAGACTATCAAGAAATGCACGATTCCCAGCCTTTGTCTTCTTCTTTTCCTCTATGCTTTGTTTAAAAGCACAAGATTAGATCAAGTTTAATTTTACTGTACATGTGCTGATCCACAGCCAGCAGTCTACACTAGCAGCCATGTGAGCTGTACTTAGGCAAACTGGTGCTTTGAACTAAATGCAAACATCAGCATGCTCACAATGACAATGCTAACATGCTGATGTTTAGCGAGTAGAATGTTTACCATATTCACTTTCTTAGTTTAGAGTGTTAGCATGCTAACATTTGCTAATTAGTCCTAAATACAAAGCATAGCTGATGTTGATGGGAATGTCATTAGTTTTGCAGGTATGTGATAATAAACTAAAATATTAGAGAAATGTTGACCTGATGATGATCACACCATCACACCAGAGCAGCTGGTACACTATCAATCAATCCCGAATTTCGAAGTGTCTTTGGGTTAAGACACTGAACCCAAAACTGCTCCTGATGCTGTGTCATCAGTGTGTGAGTGTGTGTGAATGGTTAGTTATTTTCTGATAGTAGTAGTTTGCACCCTTGCACCTGCCATCAGTGTATGAATGTGTGCGAATGGGTGAATGTGACATGTAGTATAAAGTGTGGTTGTAAGACTGGAAAGGCGCAGTTCATTTACCATTTATCTAATAGGATATATTTCAGTCTGGACCAAAATAGTGGACCGACAGACCAACACTGCCGTTTATAGAGTCACACTGAGAAACTTTTAATTTAGCCACAAATTATGGATTTTACTATTTGGCACTTGGGTGTTTTAATTTTTCACACAGTACGTAATCAAATTATATTCATAAAACTGAACCCATCACTGAACGCATATTAATTGCAGGTCATTTATATTAGATTAAAAAAACACTGGGTGGCAAGGTAAAAGTTAATTTTGGACACTGATTAATGGCTAACTTCATGACTGTGGATGAAATCCAAGAACACAGATATAACTGTGTGACCATGTGCAACACATGTCCAGGCAGCTGTAAGCCAAGTTAGTGCTCTACTGGTCAGTGTCAGGGACACTTACAGTTCAAGATAGGAGATATTCATAGACAGATCTTTGTGTGTTTGGAGAAAGAGGGCTCTGTCGTATTCTACTCTACAACAATAACGCAAACCCACCCAGTAAATGTGTTACAGCAGTTGTCATAATCAGCCATGCAGAAACATGTCCATCAGCTCCAAGCAGGTTTATATTTCATTCTGTTGACGTAGGCATGTCAAAAGGTTTACCAGTTAAAGATGTGGTTGATACTGTTGGATATTTTCAGCTGTTTGGATGCCTACTGCTGCGGTTCACTGCTAAATGTCAGAATTTCAGACATCATGACAGCATTTCTGGAAGTGAAGTCGAGGCTCTTTTACAGTAAAGCCTGGGTGTCCAGCTCTGCCTGATATCTGAAAACCTCTTCGGTGTACAGCACTGCTAACACTGGACACCTCCTCTGACCTCTCCCACTGAAACACATCATTACTTATCTTTGTAGAGCTGCACTATGTATAGAGTGTCACTGGACAAAATCCTTAAGAGGAGAAAGTACACAGGGAGAAATAGAGTCCGCAGAAATTTCAGTTAATCCAGCTTTGAGAATGACCACATAAATTTCTTTCATCATCGACGCTGACAAGGAGCCATTACCTCCACGATAGGCAAAACACTTAGCAGATGTATAATAACAAATGACCATAGGGCTGGGCTGAGATGCATAATATTAGAAGATCTTAAATTAAGGAAATAATAAAACCCAGCTGACAGCCAAATGACCGGTACTGGCAAACACTTCTACAACATATCTGCTTATGGTAAAATAGCTCACTGCGGCTTCAGCCCTTATTGAATGTTTTGTGTGGGTCCAGAGGCTCTTTAAGGCAAACACCTGACCACACCCCACCCTTTAAACAGTGTTCCGTCTCATAAAAAACACTGGCCCCGTTGGTTTACAATCCACAAAGAGCTGATTGAAAACAGACCCCTTGTTGGCCACGCACACGCCATTTGTCTCAAACTGATTCTACAGAAAGGGATAACTAATTTATTGCCACAGTTAACTTGTCAGGACAGCTCCTCTGCTGGAAGCCTGCTGAATTTCCAAGCAAGGACATATAATAAACCATTGTGAAGGTAAACATATCTCGTCTAATGTTTTATGCTCATGACAAGGTAGCAGGCTGTGACTTAAATTAAAAATGCCCCTATATTCTGATCCTCAAACCATTTACCTTGAAAACAAACATCTCTCCTCGGAGCATGGCGACCGTGTCAAAGTTCCCTTCACAGATATTGGGTCCGTAGTGATCTGGTCTTTCGGTGGTCCTGGGGCGGTCCGGATGCCGAGGAGGTGTCTGAGGTGGCCTGGGCTCCGGGCGTCGGGGTGTCACAGTGGGCAAGGCCTGGGTGGGACCACTGTCTGGTTGACCTTTAAGGAGAAACAAACAGTGAGGGTTAAACCTATTTCACCACATTGTGCAAAATGACAAGCAGGGAGGCACGATAAAAATAGTGAGCTGAAAATGGAAAATGTATATTATTATTCCGATAATGAAATTATAGCGGATAATAATAATTTATGTTGCATTCTTATGCAGCACATTTGATAGGCTGTATGTTCTATGAAAGCCAGTATCTTTATGAAGTTTTTTGATGTACTTTATACAAAAAATAAATGAACATTTGAAAAGTCAGTTGTTTTTAGTAGTGATGTCAGTTAGATTTGATGAGATCAATAACATGGAATATTCAACCATCCAGCTTTGCTCACTACATTTTAGCCTTTCTTACTCTGCAACTGCAAGTTATAAACTTATTTTTAAATTTCAAAGTAAAGTTATTTATTATCTTATTGGGAATAGCAAAGGGTAGCAGGTAATGATCAGGTATCGGCTGGGAAAAAAATCCATATCGTGCATCCCTAATGACCAGAAATAGGACATGTAAAAATGAATTCGACCCTTTGTAATAGGTTTTAGGATAAAAATTAAAAGAAAATTGTCTTGTTTGACAGAGTGGTCATTTTGTTGTTGGACAAATGGAAAAAAAAGTTTTAAATTATACAAAATCCCCATATTGTCATGATTTAACAGGCTGTAAGGATCCTGGACACCAGGAGAATTAACCAAAACCCCCCTACCATAGATCTGCTGTATGCCTCGCTTGTCGTCCTCAGGCAACTGGAAGTTCTCAGTCTCCATCCATTGGTAAAAGGGAGCCATGATGGCCAGTGGGTTGTTGGAGTGCTCTAAGCCCAGGGCGTGGCCCAGCTCGTGGATTGCCACAAGGAAGAGGTCATTACCTGAATGGATACGACAAAGCAAAGAGACAAGTTAGGGCAAGGAGGAAAGTTGGACAATGTTTACCTATTTTTTTATAGGCTTGTTTGAGTTTGTGCGGAAGGAGAAAGAGAGAATACACGTGTTCCCCTGCATTAGTGCCTTATGAAAAACACAGAAGGACTGCATAAGCTGCAAGCCGCACAAAGTCTGAATACATCTGTGCGTATAAGAGACGTTAATAGTATAACATGGCTGTTCATTGTCTTCCTCCAGTACTGATGTCAATACAAATCTCAATACAGATCTGGCAGATAAATCATACACAGGCAGGCTAATGATCGCTGATAGGAATCAGCATACATTTCTGACCACTCAAGGGATGCTGTTGTTCACTGCCACCGCGACAATTAAAAACTGACAAGGCCGCAACATGGCTGTGACATACTGACCACTGCATCAACTTCCTCTCTTACACAAAAGACTTCTTGCAGATTTCTTTTCAGAAAAGTAAAACCAAAGAAAACCTTGTTTAGAATTGACCAACATATTCCTATAAGTTTGCCTCTGTAGTGAAGCCAGCACACATCGGGGTACTTCCCCCCTCAGTCAATACCTCTTTGTTGCCTGGCTCTGCTCTCGGTGAACTCTGAACTTGCGAGCCATTTCGTCTGGCCCGATGGCCCATGCTGACTAATCACATTTGTGCCAGTGACATCATGCCGTTGGGGGATTGGGACATGATGATGTCACTGCTGTGCATGCAAAGGAAGGGGAGATGCTCCGGATGCCTGTCCTTGTGCATCTCTTTATTTCCTCATTGCAGAACACACACAAGGATACACACAGTTCACCCCCCCCCCCACTATCTGTAATTTCAGAGTCACATGAATGTCATCATGGCATATTAAGCTGCAGCTAACACTCAAGGAGAGAAAATAGCAGAGGGTAAGTAGTGTGCTAGGGAAAGCTGAGGATGAAAAAAGAGAAAGAGACAGAGCGCTGAGAGAAGATAAAGAGGCCTTTGTGAGGTAACTGTGACAACCATTCTGTTCAACAGGGAAAGGGAAGAGTAAACTTCAAAAGTCTTGGCGAAGTTAGAAGTTCAGCCAATGCAGTTATTGCTAATGCTGACTACCCTGTACACACACATTTTGTCAGTCAAGTCCTTTTTCAGCTCTTTGAAGCTTTGTTCACCATGTCTCACACTTCGTTCATCAGCAGCGAGGGGGGCTCACAGTGAAGAAAAGGCACACAAAAGCAGCACCCTGACAACCGAAATGCGCTCTCCAAGTTTGCTCTGTCTTTCGCCAGCGACTCACCCTCATTAGTCTCATCTGACCACAAAGAACCACAAAAGCTTCTGACCTTTTCCCGCTACTGGTCTACAGCATTTCAGCTGTGTAAGGTGTGTTTGAGTGTGCATGTCAGCGGGTGATTCGGATAAAGCCTAAAATCTGTTTTTGTTTGAGCATCTGTGCCAAAAAAGGCTGATTAATCACATTGTGCGTCACAAGGTTTACTCCAAAAGTGTTTGGGCCAATAGAATTTTTTTTCACTGACAAATGAAACTGAGGTCACCAATGTGAAAAGAAAACACCCTCACTGCAAAGAATGGATGAAATGGATTTGTGCTTTTACCGTCATATACATTTTTTATGTGTAACTATTGACCCATTAGCTACAGTCTGTTTTTGTTTGACCAGCATCCAAAAGGAGGTCAGAGGTCAGAGCTGGTTCTGTGTCAGGACACTTAACCGAGGCTCACTTCTTTATACAATTCTACTGCTTTGTGTGAGATTAAGGTTCAGTCTCCTTTACTTTAACAGTGGCACTGGCAATATTATTGGTGATACACAATGGTCACAATTAGTTATTTCAGCCAAAATTTTAATGAAATATATCAGTATAAGAGCTTTAAATCGGTCCATTCAATAGTTTATAAATGTTTTCTAGAACCTAACAGGATATTTGTGCAACTAACACTGTAAAACCTTTGGAAACAATTGGACCTAAAACAATTGGAAGGCAGTAAAAATGTCAGAGTTAAATGAAGACAACATCTGTGAAAAGTCCAACTAATTGGACATGTGTCTAACTCATGTCAGACAAGATTGTAATTTGTTTGTACTTTGCTTTTAAGCTGTGTAAGTAGCGTGGCGCAACAAAGGGACCAGTCTATCGCCCAGAGTGGACCACACTCCCACTTACTGTGGCATTTCAGCATCCCTGTGATCTTTCCTGTGACACATCCCACACACAGCTGATCCCACAGATGCACACACAAAGTTGAGCTGTCTGTGTCTGCTGTGTGTATGTAGATAACAGGGCAGGGATGCCCGCTGTCGCAGTCAGCAGGGTTAATGGGTGCACAGCACGGAGATGAACTCCTTTAATTCCTTAAGATTCTTAAAAATGAAGATATTTGCTTAATCCTCACTTCTGCATATGATAAGTTTAGTGATATACATTGGTGTTAAGAATTGTAATTGGGTTTATGTTCCATTTTAAGGAAAGTTTAAAGATTACGCATAGAGGATTTCGTGGATTAGTGTAAGTCAGTAAACGTTCTTAGCAACATAATTGGGGGTAAATTTGAGAACAATGAGGAGGTGCAGTTGGGGGCAAAGACCGTGTGTGTGTCACCTTTGAACCTCTGCAGAGGTAAATGGAGTAGCAGAGCCTGACAAATGAGAGGTGATGTAGCTCGCTGAGCCATGCCAACTCTAGTTAGGTGTGGAGAAAAGTGATGGGGACTGCTGTTTGCAATCTATTTAAAAGATCCATTACAACTTATACAACATGACATGGCTATAGTGCTGCAAACTGCTCATCAGCTGAACACTCACAGAAACGACCGAAGACTTGATAACCCCTAAATCCTCCATTTCTACCTATAAATTAAGCAATGACTCCCCTGCATCATCCGAGCCCTCAAGAAAAAGCTTCAAAACACAGCAGACTGCAGCACCTGAGGCCACACAAGACTTTCCCCCCTAAAAATCTCTCCTAGAAAGGTGTTTGGTGGAGATTAGTTATTTCTTTTCCCGTTGTTATTTATGCTTTCTAATTACTGTAGTCGCTAAGGAAAATGACAACTGTTCCTAAAATCCATAATACAATCGGCCTAACAAATAATTCTGAAAGCAACCATTTACCCTGTACGTTCTGGTTTCCTATGGTCCATGGTTCATCGGAGTCAAAGTGCGTGTCCCCACCCATTCCAGGTCCGGGGAAGTAGGCATGAGCGAGGAAGCCTCCCTCCCCATCAAAAGGAGAGCTGTCTCCATGAAACCCCGAAGCAAAGAAGATCATGATGTCGGGCTCCTTGCGGCGTCCATATTTAATCTCCTGGTATGGGATTTCGTCAAAGGTCAACGGGGTCACTCCCTCCCAGACTTTAAACGCCCGCCGGATGGCTTCGAATGAGTTATACTCTCCAATCTTGGGAGTGTAGTTCTGGATACTGTGGGAGCAAAGAGGGGAAGAGGGAAAAACAATCTTACAAAGGCTTGTGTGAGTTTCAAGGAAAACGAATTTCTTCGTTGATTCAAAAGCAACAAAATGATTGAAAAACATTAAAGCTAAATTAATTCTAATTCCAACTTGAACACATATTGATTTACAGTAGCCACCTACACTGAAAAACGAGAACTGCTGCAACAACTTAGAAAATGCATCCGTGTGTTACTAACAAAGTAAGACTTTGAGCATGTACTGTGGATTTGTGTCAGGTTTTCTTTACAAACAGAACATCTTTTTTTGTTACCTGTAAGTGAGGTGGCTCTTGTTCCATTTATGTCCAGTGAGGGCGTAGCGTTTCCGCCGTACGTTGGTTTTGATCTGGCCTCCAAACTTGTCAGGCACACCGCAGCGGGGTCTCCTCATGGCACTGAGAGAGTTGAAAGGAGTCAGGAGCAGGCAGAAGATATGTGTGATATGTGTTGAAAGGAAGGAGCACCCAAGAGAAGAGATGAAGGGGAGAATGACATTAAAACCCCACTTTCTCGTCTTGATGTCTATGTTCTTTTTTGTTGTTTAATTTAAAGCGTACCTGTGAGCTGCCTAGTGCAGCCAGACTACTGCGCAGCTCCTCTCAAGCTACTGAGGAGAAGGTGCTCAGCAGTACGAGGAGATGGAGACATTACCCATTTATAGCACTGACCAGCAAATCATGTCCTAGTTACAACTCCATATTTCTAGATTCTACCTCATATTATATTATTAACCCTATCAAAACATTTCAGGGACATGCAAAACAGTAACAATTCAACTTAATTTTGGGGCCTAAAATTAATTTCATGGAGCTGGTGAACACTCTTTTATGAGTGTGTTTAAGTCTAAATGCTGACCTGATGGTTTGAGGGTCCATCTGTCCAGTGACCTCCAGGCCGTAGAAGCGTTGCATGTCGCTGACGGCATTGGACAGGATCTGAGCCGATCGCATGGTTGACATCTGTCTGCTGGCCTGGGGGAGGTAACCGTACATCCTCAGCCATGACTGGAGAGACACAGGGAGGAAAACATAAAGGAAACTGTTAACAAATAAAGAAGCATCATCTGTTCATACAATGCGACTGACTTGAATCAGTGCTAATTAGGTTTACACTGCTGAAGTTGACAGCAACAACAAAATAAAGAGTATGTTCACATTAAGCCTTTAATCCTCGACGGCTTACCCTATGCAGACATGATCAAATTTTAAAGCAAGAAACTTTTTATATAATCAAGAGGTGAATTATGACGAGAGAAAGGAAATAAAAATTATGGAAACACAGTTTTATGAGCATATGGGCAATTTGTGTTGTTTACAGCTCAGAGGAATGAGCTCAGCTTCAGCTTCTGTAACATGATGGAGATCTGCGTTGGTACCCAGCCTTTGTGGAATTTGTTATTTGATTCTGAATGGAAGAAATGGGCAATGTGTTGTTATGTGATATTATAATGTTATAATGTTATAATATAATGTAATGTTAATAAATATATTCTACAGTTTATTGGCTGTCTTGGGCATTTAATGTTTTTTATATGAAAGAGAGAAGGCAGGGAGGTTTCAGGTCTGAATGAGAACACTGTGAGGACTTCTGTATCTGTAACTGGGAGGGCT